GGCATAATAACTCGTAAAAACTTTTTACAAGCATACATAATGTGACGCGTAAGGCCATTAAAATCATTTTTAACAACTTTTGCTGGCATGTAAATTACGACAGACACCGGTTTTCATTCCTTCCACAGGATAAAACGCGCTTCACGCTTCGTTTGATTTATAGGCGCAGGGTTAACTTTCTGAATGAAAGCCGGATCGGAGCTATATATCTATATATATAGCGGGTGGAGTTGGGATCAGGATTGCATATGTGTATTACACTTGTTATCAGGCGTATCATATCGCAACCCATCGGCGTCTCACTTTATGTGTTTATTTTAATTTTCAATGTTTTGCGTCGGACATTTTATGGCTCTCAATTTTTGCGTTGCTTTTACGAGGGCATTAAAATTAAGACAACGGGCCACCAGCCAGAACCCAAAAACAGGAACCAACTCAATTAGACAAAGAGTCTCAGTCTGAGTCCCAAAAAGAGGCGTCTGTAAAATTCACTTGGCTTCACACACTCCCACTCGAACTCACCAAATTTCTGGAAGCGTGTTAATTTCTTTTTAATTCCTCCTGCACTCCAGTGAAAGTTTCTCCCTTCACTCATAAATTAACGTTTAGTTACGCTACATAAAAATCTGTCTGGAACCAGATCTAAATTTCTGGAGGGTTACAAGAAGATGGGGAAATGTAATCTAGTTAATATAATGCTTGTAAGTTTATTCCTATAAAGAAATACCTTTAATTTAACTTAATAATCAAGTTTCCATTTGATCTCCTAATAGTTTCCACTTATCGTTGGATAACTAAAACCCTCTATAAATACTCAACACTCTCATTTATTTTCTATACTCCATCATTAGTACCCTTGGCAGCAGTGTCTGTCATTGGCATCATTAGTTTTATTTAATTATGCCCTTCGTATTGATTGCTTTGTTAGAACATATATACATATATATATAGTGAGGAAACTTCCTCTACTCGCGGGGGAAAGTTCAATTAAATATAGCCCCCTTCACCCCTTCAGGAAAATATAAATCCAGCTGTGATTTCGGCATCGGTTTGTGTTAACCGCAAACCTCACAAAAAAATAAAGGAGAGAAAATCGAAATATATTTGATAATGAATAATGATGTTGATTTGACACTCAAATCGAAATCGTCACGGTTTTGGAGAGAGAGAAAAACATTTGAGGGGTCAAAGGGCAGGAGTTGCTCCTTGGGTAGAGATCAGATTCCGAATACAACAATTTGATTTTAATTTAATTAGATTTCTTTTAGAGAATGGGAATCGTATGATAATTTAATGGAGCATGAAATTTGGGATATCTTTTAAACCCAAAAAGAAATACTTGATACAATTTCACAGCGCTGCAAAGTGGCCGCTAATGATGGAGCATCCTGAGCATCAAATCCTTCAATAAAGAACCCAGTGTGTGGTCAAATACTTGGCTAAAAGCCGTGACAAAGGTCATTAAGGGGATCGGGGATACATCTCCAGCACATCAGGTGCTTCAGTAAAGGTTTCTAGATTTATATAAATAATTTTTAAATACATTCTTCAAGTAACTTTATAGGAAACAAGATCTGATTATATCCCAAAAAAAACACATTAAATTATTTAATGACATTCTCATTGCTATCTTAACTCCGGGCATAATTTATAAACTTGTCTGCATCGTGTCGACATTCATCAACTCAAAACCTCTCTTCCTGCCTTTGAACAACTTCATTAAAATTAGCTCATAAAATTTGCAGCAACTCGTGCAACTCTCTGTCTTTCCCGTTTTTGGCCCGAAATCTTGTTTAGTTTTCATTTATGGCTCAATGGCAGGAGCCAAAAATCTTCCTTCTACACTCCCGTTGAAGCTGGAGGATGTGTGGCCACAGGATCCGCATCCTGACTGACAGACGCACTTCAGCATAATTTGCTGTGACAGGCTTCAGCATTTCCTGAAGCAGCGCTTCCTTAATTCCACTTTACCGAATGACATTTAATATGCAAAGTTTTTGCCAAGCCACAAACACCGAGACTGCAACTGGAGGCGCGCATATCTTTTGATGACTTTTGTTGATTTTATGCCAACACATTCTGCAGGGCCAAAAACACACACACACGACGAGTGGGATGGATTTTTGTATGAGCACTGGGAAGATTTTGTTGATATTTAGTTAGAGAAATTAGATATTAATAGAACAATAAGGTAACGAAATATATTCAAGCTGAACAAGTGCTTCTTTACAGAAATTAAAGGACTTGCAACGAACTCACTTGGTTCATAGAAACCTTTTTTGAATCTTATATATTTATTGATAATTTTATTCAATATAAGCCAAGGACATCTTTCCAGTGTAGTCCAAGCTTATGCATTTTCCGCACAACCAAAACAATGGACCAGAAAAACACAAGTGTTGGGTTGTATTTTGGGGCCAAGGCAAAGTGTGTCTGGCTGGGGGAATACCCTTTATTGCAAAATAGCTGGGCATAGCTTTGCATACTTTACGGCCCCCAAGCATCGTAAAGTTTAATGGCGCCCCGTTCGAGCCAGTAAGGTTTTCAAAGTTTGGTTGGTTCGTTGGCTTGGCTCTTTTGAAATATGAATAGACGCCAGGAGTCCCGGCTCTTAGCCCCTCTAATGCTCGCCTTGTTAAGGAGATTAGTTCCACGGCCATTTCCCAATAAAATTGGTTTATTCAAGTAGCTGCTGGCGACCACTTTTCAATCGCTATAATTGACAATCGAAAGGATCTCGCCATGTCTTTCCATGTCTAAGCCAGGCACGTACACAAATTAAGCTCGTAAAATTTAATATTTTCGCCGAAAGTTTCAGTGGTTTTTTCTTGTCTTCTGTTTAGTAATTTATGGCGTGGCTTAGATGCCTGCATAATTGGTAAGCACTTGTAAGGATAAATCCTTGTAAAGGATACATAAAATTTTACAACAGTTGTTGGAAAAGTTCGTGTTTTGTATTTATTTAAATAAGTGTTGGAGATGTTTTTTAAAATTTTATGGATAGGGCTTAAAACCTTGACTGAGTTTCATAAAAAGTAATGTGAACTTCAAGAATATCAAGTTAAAAATTCATGTTTTTAATATTTAAAATACTTTTTTTAAATGTTTTATTATATTATATTATTATTAACCTTCTCCTATTGATTCCTCCATTAGGTTATAAATTTACCTTTGGTTTTCTCGAATTCCCAAAACAAACTCTTTCAAAAACTCATCCCCCTCGATTTTTCCCATAACAAAACGGAATCGTTTTGTGTGTGTTTTGTTGAGTTCACCCTTTCGCTGGGTGGGTAAGTGCCAATCAAATCGAAAAATATTTTCGGAATTTTGACAAAGGGAAAAGTTTCCCAAGGCGAATTGCGTGCGTTGGTGATGGAGGTACATATATGGCTACCAGCATAAAAATGCTGACGACTTATACCCGAAGGGAATTGAGTTGGTCTCAAGGTGGGCAAGTCGGGGAACAATCCATCAAACAAAACGCTGCGCTTTTGATAAGAACGCATCAATAAAGCAATAAAATGTCTACAAATCAAACGATAAGAACGCCAGTTTTGCCAAAAGATTCGCTGCCGTCAAGGGAAAGGGTTCGGTGGAAAAGTCACGTACAGCACGCACAGGACTATTAATATTAATGGTTGGTTTTAACACATTGGGCGTAGAGTTCTTAGGGATCTCTCTTGTGTGGCTGTCATCTCGTCAAGAAAGCTGTCTTTCCTTCTTATTGAGACACTGAAGAAAAATATGGGAAATATTTATAATAATTATATATTTTGGAGTATGTTTTGATATGATAATATTAGATAGAAAAAATTTTTTTTATGGTTTTGGAATAAGAATAAGGCTATAAGATTCAACAGCATTTAGATATTGTTGGTTTTCCAGTTAATCCCTGCTCTTTCTTTACCTTTAAGTATTTTTATACTCCTCTCCCCATTTTCCTCAGTGTTTTCCGAAGGGGGTTTTCCCTCAAAATTGACATGTGACACCGAGCGAGACCAGAACTGAACCGAGCCAAGAGATTCGGGGACCCCTGTCAAAGAGTTTTGCCCCTTGGCATGACGAAAAAATAACAATTCGGGTCGATTTGGGATTGGATCGGGGTCGTTGTGGTTGAGATTGGTTTTTGGGAATCATTAACATTTTGATAACTGTCGAACTCTGCTGTGATCCATTAGTTAGCGATAACGCGGCAAAGCTGTGAGGTCTTTAATTGATCTCGTGATCAATTCGCTCTTTGTGGTTTTATGTTAATGAAGCGTAATCTTTGTGCTGTCTCTGATTTCGTTTCGGTTTCAGTTTTAATTCTATTTAGACCTTTTTGTTTTTAATTTTTCATGCTCTCCATTTGGCTCTGGCTGGTTTCGTTTTCTGTAAAAGTTGCAGTGTTTTTGTTGATTTTAAAATAATAAACAGATTATTGTTTACTGATTCCGTTTTTAATGTTTGCAATTTTAGCAGAGGACTTAAAAATTAATAATATAATTTTATATAATATCTCAAGTGTATTAAAATGAACTATATTTATAAGAACTTAAATAAAATTAAATGCTAATATACTTCTCTGGCACACCCTTTGTTTCTTAGAATGCAATTTGTTCCACTTATTAATTCGATATGGACTTGTTCTCACAAAAACATTAGCAGATTAGGAATGAAACTTTGAAAATCAAAAAAGAAAACCTATTGAAGCCGAAGTTTGAATACACTTGCTGTTAGCTATTGGTTCAAAGGGTAATACCCTATCCCAAAAGCATTTATTTAACTTTTTTCTGAAAATTCTACTACCTTGCTAATTTAAATTAACTTTAAGTGTTAAATATTGAAGTAAATGAGTAACCCTTGTGACTTTTGAGGCACCCTAGTGCCATGCTTCAAGTCGCTTATTCAGCAAATGTCGCCTAAGGGGGCTGTACCCTAAACTTCATTGGCCAGAGATCGTGTGAATAATTCGCATTTTTCGATATCAGCATTTTTTCAACTACGCTGCCGGCAGTGTTTTTCTGATATTCCATATACTTTATACTCATTCAGTGTTTCATGTGACTTTCTGTAAAGCAGTCCATTATTAATAAAGCTACTCGCTTCAAGTGATTTCCAGTGAAATTGTACAAAAAATACCTAAAATGGAGATGAAAGAATTAAATCAATTTAAGAAAATTTGCGTAAACTCTGAATTGCCAGAGAATTTGGCAAATTTTTTTCAAAATTATGGTGAAATTGTCGAGGAAATTGTTATGACACCAATATTTGCGCTAGAATTTCCTTTAATTGGAAAGTATTGCCTTAACCTACAATCAATAACTATAAGTCACGCGGATCTTATATCGGAAAACTTGGTGCTTTTTAAGGCCATGATTATGCCATTAAAAAACCTAATTGAAGTGCAGTTTGATATAAAACATAAAGACGCTTCTGAAATCTTATTTGTTTTAAAAGATCTTGAAAAACTCAAGAAATTAGGTCTGAATATAGAGGATTGTACTGAGTTACCTGTAGATCTTGGTAAGTCTTAAAATAACCAAAATCAATCAGATTTTAATATATTTATTTTTCTTTACAGATCACTTACAGAATATGGTTAACTTGGAAACCTTGGCAATTAAAGGAACAATGGTTGTCTTGAAAATTAATGATATTTCATCTGACTTGAAAATGCTTCGCAATTTGCTAATTTCTGGTGGAAAAATAATATCCAATTCTCAGGAAATGGCATATGAATTACCAGCTTTGGAAAAACTTGAACTTTACCATGTCCGTATTGAAACTTCTTTTCCGGATTGTCAAAAACTACGAACTCTGCACACTAGGTTTACAAGTTTCAATAGTGATTTCCGTGAATGGTTAGAAATGAAATTGAAAACCGTGGAAATCTTGGGAACAAATAATTCCTTATTCGGACAGGATGTTCTATCCGAAATTTTTTCAAGTCTTTTGCCCTCGGATTGGGTTTTACCAGCTTTGAGGAATCTTATACTATATGAGGACTTTGAAGTTATAACATTTCCCTTGCCATATTGTCCGATGCTAACCTCCTTGAATATGGCACAAGTTGATGAGTTTTCCAAAGAGTCTATTGATTGGATTGAAAAGCATTCGAGTACTTTAGAGAGTCTAGAACTACCAGGTTTAATTTTTGGAGAAAATTGTTTTGAACTCCCCTTCTTTCCAAAGTTGCGTGCATTTCGCTTAAACTCTTCTTACGAACTATCACCAGATCGTTTCTTTAATTGGATTTCGAAATACTCAAAGACAATGGAAGTTCTGAATATTTATGGAGACTTAGAACGAAATCGCTTGCTTAAAGTTCTCTCAGATTGCAAAAATATTCGATCTTTTCGTATTGCACGTACCTCTCCGGCTTTTAGTGAGAATTTTTTCAGGTCTTTATTTAAAATTTTAAAGGAAAATGATGTTACTGTGGATAAACCATTCAAGTTCAAATGTACTTCTATGAATTTGAGCAAGAATCAGGTATTTATGAATCTTTACTTTAAGAAGTATGTATTTTTACAACATTTCTATATTTGCAGATTGATATTTTATACGATTTACCCTATTCCGAATTGTGCATAGTTCAGATTGATGATAATATTGGCACCCTTTGGGAAACTTATAATGAAATCTCTTAATGAAATAGTAAGTAAATTATTTAAGAGTTAAGAGAGCTAAAGTATCAACAGTTAAAGTATCAAAATGACGCACTAAGTACAACATTTTCCCCCCTCAAAGTCCCAGTCAATCTCCTAGGACAACAAACAACTTTGTCCCCATCTAATTTGGCCAAAAGTCCAAAAGGTCCAAGGGTCCACCCACAAATCCATTGCGACACATTTCCGCTTTGACCAAATCTGTTGCCGGTGATTGACTTTGATTTTCCAAGGCGGAGGGGAGGACCAAGACAAGTCCTCGGACAAGTGAAAATGAATTTTTCCTTTTGACGATTTCATCAAACTTTTCCAAGACGCAAAACAAAAAAAATAAGGAAAAGGAAAAATGTCTTATAAAAACTAACGATTGCCAATTGGTTTTTACTGTTATTGGCGCGCCCCATTTGCCTGCCTGGGCAGCACTTCCGTTTTGGCCAAAAGTTATGGGCGTGGCCTCATCTCTCTCTCTCTCTCTCCTCCACAATGTGAAATATGTTAGGCCGATTCATTGTGGAAATTTCTACATTCATTGTCTTTCTGGGATTAATTTCCTTTCAGTACGGCCCGAGCACTTTCAGGAAAATCATAAAATTTTATTTGTACAACTTCCTGGGGACTCGGCGACTTTTGTATTCCGATTTAATTTTTTGCATAGATTTTTGTAGGAAATTATTTGGGGTATATAGGTTTTAGGTAAATATTTGTTTTTGATTTGAAGAATATTTTAAATACTTATACTATTTATTTTGTGTTTTTTTTTCAGGTTGATGGAGATTTGAAGGCATGGAATCGGAGACCTTACCTTTATTTTCTTATTTTTATATCATTATCTTTGAAATATAATTTCTTTATTATTTGAAATGATTAAGGAAAGCATTTTGAATTGTTATACGATTGAATTTGTTAGTATACCTATATTAACATATATATTATTTAAAACATCTCATTTACTGGTAAATCCATTACTTAAAGAATTTTCGGACGAATGTATGAATGCTATTGAATGTGTATATTTTTGTAGATTCTATTCGTGGGAATGAAGTATTTTATGTATAAATTTATCTATATATATCATTATATATTTTCCTTTTCTCTTTTTATTTTAAAGGGAACATCTTAATCGAGTTTCCATTTCTTGCTAATTTTTTCCCCCCTGATATTTCATAGAGTTCTCCTTAACTTTCCGCGCTTCCTGAAGCCGTAATTTCTTCATTCTCTTCGCTGCATTAATTTTTAGTAGCTTTAGTTTGTCCATGGATTTTGGGGCTAAGCAAATATTTTGGCCAGCTGCGTGTGCTGCCAAATTTGTTTGCCAAGGTAAATGCAACCAAAACGCTGTGCGTTGACGGTGCGTTAAGGTAAATTTGTAGAGCGTAAATTGTTTGGCCAATGCAAAGATTTAACTCTATTCGAATTGGGGAGGAAGGATCCTAAGGTCCTTTCACCAAAAGGGGGTGACGAGTCTCTCACATTGTTTCAACTGCCACGAATGACAATTTCTAATTTATTGCAATTATGTGACGCACGTCACACTCAACTGACCAGGCCACAAATACAACTGACCAGCGGCTGACACGTGACCAATGTCCTTTCGGGTTATCCCTGATTGGAAAACACTAAAACTGATACGAAGAGCGGTTGCCAGTGGGCCCAAAAACTTCCTCCTTGACCATTCCACGGAGATTTATTTTACGCCGATAACACGCTTAAGTAAATGCTGTCCCTGGCAGTCGGCTTTCCATTCGCATTTCCCTAACAGAGTGCACTGGGGAAAATTTTCATAAGAAGGACAAACTATATCTTTTTTATAATTAATATTATTTAAGTTCTTAACCATAAAGGAAGAAGGTGTTATCAGGCTTTAAATAATATCTCAGCATTACTTTTCTGTATCCTTTTTATATTATAACAACATATCCTTGAAGAAAATGTGACTTAAATACAATATGCTCTGCAAACTTTAGCAAAATATTTTTATTTAGTAAATATATATTTTTAGAGCATATATTTTTTTCAAGTGCCTTCCCTTCGTACAATTTAAATGGCGATTAAATCAGCTGGCATTGATGGATGTGTCCAAGAGCTCGTCCTGTGTGTGTACCGTGTCCTGTGGTCAGTCTGTTTCAGGATGCGGCGCCATGTTAACACTTTTGTACAATTGCCAATTTTTCGCAGGCAATGCCTGATGATGAGCCGCCCTCTCTTACTGTGTGTGTGGGAGTGAAGCGGTGGCTTTTGTGGTGTTGTTCAGGGAAGGAAAGGGATATTGGAGGAGTGGTCCTGGCATGCGGCTACACTTCAATATTCATTTGGACGCATAATTGATATTGACGAACAATGTTGCCACTACAACAATGTGGAAAGAAGGGCCAGGAGAGTGGGTGGATATTGGAAAGTTAAACACTGCCAGAAAATGTATTGATAATTGGGATTGGGGTGGGTCTTTTGTCATTTGTTTGACATTGAAAGTGATTGTAATTAAAGTAATACAGGGTATTTTAGATATTTATGATTAAAAGGGAAAATATTTAGAAATTCTAAAGGCTTTGAATGCATGAACTTTAGCTATAGTAAGAATAACTAGAAATTTTGCAAGACTTAAAGGTTTAAGGTTTATAGAAATAACTCATATTTCTGCAACATTTATTTGCAATTTCTTTAACATATTTCCCCCAGTGCAGATTACTTTGTTACCGCCTCTGACTGGGCCTACTTGGGTCAGTTAATTTTATAAAAATTACCATGTCCGGAACCCCTTGTGTTCTACGTGGCATGCAACATGTTTGCCATTTTCATTTACCTCCTCGACGAACACGAATATATATCCTGTATATATATCCTGCATCTGATATCTCGCTCCTTTATTTTTTTTGGGAGAGAGTTCCTTCTGCTCGTTTTGCATCTGTCAGTGTCATGTCACGTTCGAGGAAAATGCATCCGATGCCCATTGTTGTGGCGTCGACATGGAAGCTGCTGCTGCTGCAGGAGTGTAAATTTAATTTAGTTAATTGAAACAATTTGTTGCATGCGACAAGCGGCAACATCACATCGCCAGGAGGTAGCACAAAAAACATATATGTATACAACTCGAAGAGCTGATTTCCCTGCTTTTCCACTGATTTCGTTTGAGGATTTTTCTTTTACAATCTCTTTTTTGTTTTGGGGTAAGGTAAATTCCATATGAAATACAATATATACTCGCCCCGGAAACATGTCAATTTGGGTGGCAGTCGTGTCGGTTTTGCGTCTGGCAGCCCTCGCAGCGGGGAATCTCTTTTCAATTTGATTGAAATTGCACTCAATACACTTTGTATATTGATATATTAATTTGCTCTTCTTGTTTTTTTGCTTTTGCTTTTGTGTTTTAAAAAAAAATACTTTGGTTAATTTGCGTACAAATTGAGACAAAGGCTGCGGAACCAGTCAATGGATTTAATTAAGAGGAGTTTGGGTTTTGCAAGTCCTCTTTCCAGGGTTTAAAGAATATTAAATTTAAGAGAGAATGTGGGATAAATATTAAATGTCTCAGTTTAATATATATATTTTATAAATTTCCTATAAGCAATGACCAATTGTAAATGCAATTGTTCAAAAAACCCATCAAAGCGTTAAAATGCAAATCACAATAAATACCATTTGCTAAAGTCTCTCTGAACAAACACTTGATGAATTTACGTAAAATATATATCTCGTATTTACCTTGCACTTGATGCCTAAGCAAACTATGAGATACATTCAGGAGTTGTAGGAACGGCTTTCGTGCGTGTCTAAATAAACATGGAAATTTGTGGAAAATAGACTCGAGTTGCACATTTTGTTGTAGCTCAGTAGTAGAGGAGAGGTAGGAGGAGGTCCTGTCACTCTGAATGACAGCCCAAGTCAAGTGTTGTTTTCGACCATTGTTCGGCCGGAGAATGTCGTTATGGAAAATGCATAAAAGCAGAGACAATGTTTGTTGTACTTGAGCTTTCCAGCCGTTGTCCTAGGTGCTAAAATTTCATGGCTCCTCCTTCCCCGAATGTCCCTATGTCGTTTAATTTAAATGCAAACTTTCCTGGAAGCGGTGACTGCAAAATTGTCTTTGCAAGGACCTGGACCCCAAGCCCAGGAAATTGGGCCTCATACCATAGAGTTGGTCATCGACTTGGTTGCAATTTCGAGACGCATTACGCATGCATGGGTGCCTAAATAATGTTGATTTAACATTATCACGCGCACTGCACCGCAACGAGTATGATGCAGTTAGAGAAATCTAAGGATAAATAGTTTTTTCTTGAAATTTCTGATTTTAATTGTGAATTTTAGCTTTTATTTAAAGTTATACAAGGCTCTTTTAGTGTAGCATTGATATTCTGTTGTTATTAATCAACTTTTTAACATGTTTGTTTCTTTTATGATAAGCTGAAGTTTTTATTAGGGTAACCATTAACTTCTTTTGGTTTTATTAAATTATTTCTTTATAATGTTATCATATCATATATATGCATTTTTTCAGTGTGTGTACGTGCGCCCCAATGGCGTCACTTAGGCGTAGGGTCAACATTGTTGTAAGCTTCCTTTAAAAGCAGGGGAAATCCCTCTTTGGGTTGGGGGATTCACAGAGACGGGGAAAACAATCGATGGTTTAGTTGATGAGAGGCTCTGATGGGGCAGCTAATTGGAAATATAGGTAGGAAATACTATAGCCCACAGAGCTTCGAAATAAGAAGTATCATAGAAGAGTTGATCAAGAATATTTATACTACAAATAAAGTATCTATTTCTCTGTTAAAAATGTAAGAAATTTAATGTAGATGACTTAAAGTCAACCATTTTCAGCTATCAACTTTTATCAATCAATCTTTTTTCTTTATAATTTCCTTCTATTCTTTCTTCTGTTTGCCTTTGAAAGCATCTCGGCTAAAACCTAATCAGGGGCCACGCCCCATCTTTTCACCAAACACAACCACACACCTCAGCAATTTTCGAGTGCTTCAAGTATTAACAATAGATCAACAAATCCGGAGTTATTCGCCAGAGTGACAAAACAAATCGGAAGACACGCCGACAAACGCGTGGACACGTGACCAGCAAGGAAAGAAAATGAGGGGAAAATACATGCAGGCACTGAGAAAAAATACTACAGAAGTTTAGTATTCATTTCAGAATAAATATAAAGTTATTTCATAGATTATAAATACTGAAATTCAACTTCAAAAGAGAATTCCTGCTTGATAAATAAGCTTAAATCATTTTTAAAAATATGCTTCACTTTGTGGATTATAAATAATTCTTGTAGACCATTTCTTCCAGTATTCTATGCCACTGGCTTAACACATTTAATCCCACTGGCCATTGGCAGTACTTTCACCATCATCATCCTCCCCCACATTTCATGATTTCTCCGGGCTACTTTCTAATTTATGTTCTGTCAATTCTTTTGTCATTTTTGGCGACACAGAGCGAAGGATAAAGGAGAGGCAACTTGTGGTCCTGGAAGGCGTCGGCTGGTCGGCCGCACTTAATGAGTCTTAAGAAAAATTATTTGCAATTAATAATTATACTCATATTGTTTCTTGGCCTATGGGTGCTTTGGTTACTCCACTCAATTAGAGGGTGGCCAGTGAAGGATTTTCTCCCAGGAGGGGGTTGGCAACTTGTTATTGCAGTTTATTTGATGTTTGTCATTTAATCATTTTGAAAGAGACTTATTTGTTGTCATTGAGAACTTGGCAAGACGTGGAAAAACTATGGGGAAAATTATGGGAAAGGCATTAGAAATTGAATGAAGGAAAATGTATATTAAGCTTCTCTTAAGCATACATTTTGTGATTTTTTAA